ATGTCTACCTAGATACAGATATTTAGATATATGTATATCTACGTATAAAGTAATGGTATCTGGATGTATGATCTATGTGCAGAGCTTTACTTTAATTCAAAGATATAACAGAAATTAGACTTTGCTCCTACCAGAATTGAAGTAGGATGCAAATTTTAAGGGTTTTTTTTTTTTTCATCTACAGGGTTGTCTTTTTCTCTTATAACTTATTTCTTAGGCTATTCCCCCCTTCGCCCCTTATGATTTATTTGCTGGAGAAACTGGATTCTGGGCCTGTACAATTTCCCACGGCTGGATATTGCATTTGTCCTCCTGGGATATCACTTACCACTTCCTGTTCCCCTGTTTCCCTTAAAATGCTGACAGTGAGGAGCTGGAGTGATAGCACAGTGGGTAGGCCGACCAGGGTTCAATCCCCAGCATCCCATATGGTCCTCTGAGCACTGCCAGAGTAATTCCTGAGTGCAGAGCCAGGAGGAAGCTCTGAGAATTACCAGGTGTGACCCAAAATACCAACTAACAACCAAACAATCAAATAAAGCTATCTTCTCATGAAACAAACAAAAAATTTTAAAGAATATTTAAATTAAAAAACTGTTGAAAATGAGCTGGTGAGGCGCAGACCTTCCAATGTCAGGGCCATAAAGCGTGAGGTACGGGGCTGGAGTGATAGCACAGCGGGTAGGGCATTTGCCTTGCACACGGCCGACCTGGGTTCGATTCCCAGCATCCCATATGGTCCCCTGAGCACCGCCAGGAGTAATTCCTGAGTGCAGAGCCAGGAGTAACCCCTGTGCATTGCTGGGTGTGACCCAAAAAGCAAAAAAAAAAAGTGTGAGGCACAAGACCTCCACAGACCCCCACCTCCTTGGGGGTGAGGGGGGCTCTGCCACCCACTGTAGCTTCTGCCCCAATTTTCAATGTTGGAAAATAAAAAACCCAGAGCTGAACAGGCCTGTACTTAGAGTAACAGGTCTTGGGCCCACGGTGGTCTGATATGGTTACTAAAATCATAAGGCTCTTTCTGACTTACACTCATCCTTAAGGCGCATGTCCCTTATAAGTACAATTTCTTCCGGTGAAATCCTTGAACAAACTCCGATCTACAGAAATTAGCTGTTTATTTCCGTGAGAAATCTCACTTGGGGTAGGAGAGTGGTGCAAGTGCCGGGGTGCAGCTCTGCCTGTGGGAACCCCGGGCTCCACCCCCAGATCCAGTGCCTGGTGCCAGGTCCAGCCCTGAGCACAGAACCAGGAGTGCTCCCTGAGCACCACGGGGGGGGGGGGGTGTGTGGTCCAAAGAACCAAAAAAAAGAGAAAAACCTTATTCATAAATACATAATTTTAGTTTCAAATGATAAACAAATGAGACTACTGAAACGTCTAAAGCGTCCCCATCAAAGCAGCAACCCGGTGCGGGGACAACTGGTGAGGAAGGGTGGAACAGGCCGGCTTCAGAATCAATCCCAGATGGAGCCCAGATTTCAGTGTAAAAATAAAACACGATTTGAGAGGAGAATCTAGGAGGATATTTTTATAATTGAGGCAGGGGTGGAGTGACAATCTGACATCCCAGCCAGCGCCCGTCGGGGCAGGGATGGGGCGAACGCAAGAGAGCGACACGGCTTGGTCCTGGGGAAAAGAATTTCCTTTTGAAATCTCCTTTTACAGACTTTTCTAACCAGGGGCTTGCCAGAGAAATCCCTGCCAGCATCAGTGAGGGCAGAGAAAGGTCCGAGCCCCTCGAAAACGCTTTCACGTTCGGTACGAAGATTTCCCCCAGAGAGAAATGGGCAAAGCTCAGAAACAGGAATTCATTAAGAGGGAAAACGGAACCGGAAGGGCGCGCAGACCACATATTCATCGAGGAAATGCAGGCAGAAGATCCCCAAAGTGCTAAACCATGACTGAAATGGAGAGGCGCTCCCAGGGGAGGGCTGAGAACATGGTCGGGGGGGAACCTTCCAAAGGACCCTAAGTCAGAGCCAAGAGGGGAAGACCCTTCCCCAATGCCTGGCCTGGGGAAACAGTGAGGTAAGAACAAGCACGGTCACCCGTGCATGTGTGTGCCTGCACATCTCTCTACGAAATGTGATGTGTGCAATTTATGGACTGACCCAAATTGGAAACTGCTAACTGCTCATCAGCAGAAACGAAGGTTGACTCCTTGCTTTGGAAACACAAACCGCCTGCAGAATATAATCTCGCTTGGTGGAAAAAAAAAAAACAAAAAAACCCCAAAAAACAAAAAACAAATTTAGGGAACTGTACAGGGGAAAGACACTTGCTCTGCATGTAGCCAAACCCAACTGGATTCTAAGTACCACAAAATATCAATCCCCCGACACGGCTTTTTCTCCCAAAAGGGAGCAACATGACGCCCCCCATAGCCATGCCACCGGACTCCGTGCCAGGCTGTATCATTTGGGGTGCTCCAGAAGGGGGGCAGGGGGGCGACCGAAAACCTCCAGAACCCAACCGCTGCCATGGTCAAGGCTGCTCCCCACACTCTCTAGGCCGAGCCTTGCACATGAGTGACTGTATTCCTGGACCACGTGGCCACAAATGCGGCTGCTCAACACATCATAAGACACTCCCTATCCATTCTTTATAAGTGCCACACCACATCTGATGGGGTTCAAGTAGTAGGCAACAAATCATAGAGGGAAATATAAATATATATATAGATGCGCATATGCATATAAGCTCACATCACTCAACCCTTAACAACATGTTATTGATATCCTAAAGAATGTCTTACTGGCCCCTGCCAAAATGGAACAATCTTCACACTGTTTCTACTATGGGTACTTTTGTAGCATTTTCAGCAGTTTTTCATAACAGAGAATACAAAGTATATTATTTCGGTTGTATTTTTGGGATAGGGATTAGGGCTTGGCATGGAAACATCTCAAATTTGGTAGTGGGAAGGTGTAATGGTGGTGAGCTTGGTGTTTGAATATTAAATATAATCAAATATTGTGAACTACTTTATAAAAGAAAAAAAAATTTAAAAAATTATCAATCTCCCGAGAACCACCAGGAGTGACTCTGGAGCAAGGCCCGGAGCAGCCCTGGAGCACCCCAAGGCTTTGGCCCCCCAAACTAAAGGCCAAACCATATCCAACTGCCACAGTCACAAGTGAAGACAAGCCTGTGGCGAAATGCAGAATTGCAGAAGGCAGAAGATGGGGCCTGGGGAGAGAAGGGTAAGGGAGAAAATGGGGGGGGAGTGGGGTACCCTCTCTGTCTGGGGAGATAACACTGGAGTTCTCTTTGTTCCCCAGATCTTTCTATATTTTTAAAAGTAACTTTTAGGGTCACTCCCAGCGATGCTCAGGGGTTATTCCTGGTTCTGCATTCAGGAATTACTCCTGCAGGTGCTAGGAAGACCATATGAAATGCTGGGGATTGAATCCGGGTTGGCGGTGTGCAAGGCAAACATCCTTCCCATTGTACTATTTCTCCAGACCCTATGATAATCTGAAATGGTCTGCCTAACTTACAGGACCAATCACATGCAGAAAAAAGTATAGCTTATTTCAAAAAATAACACGCAGAAGGTTGTCTCGCTTTGATGTTGTTTCTGAGAGTCAGCCCTTTGTGAAACATGTGCTTCCCAGGATGATTATAGTTATTATTCTTCCTACTGAATGATGTTCTTCATTTGTTTTTGTTTGGGGGCCACACCCAGTGATGCTCAGGGCTTACCCCGGCTCTGCACTCAGGAATCACTCCTGGCAGGGTTGGGACACTGGCGATCAAACCTGGGTCAGCCAAGTGCAAGGCAGGCACACTACCTGCACTACTATCTCTCAGGCTCCAAGATGTTTTTTAATGACATTCTTAGTTTGAAAGTTTCATGGGGGCAATTTGAAACGCTTTTCTATGAATGCTATCTTACTGTCTTCATAGGACACCTGATGTCATAGGTGGGGGTTGATCCCTGGCATTGCAAACAGTCCCGAGCATGGCCAGGAGTCCTTCCTGAGAAGCCAGAGTAGACCCTGAGCACTGCTGGGTGCTACCCCAAACACCAAAACTAAACAACACACACACACACACACACACACACACACACACGCACACACAGAGGCAAAGGCCTATCTTTCAGAAACATGCTACTGCTTCATTTGCTTTATTTTCCCTTCTGGTGCTGCCAAGGACAGACAGAACCCAGGGCCTCACCCATGCTAGGTGAGTACTGTACCCTCTCAGCCTTACTGCTTCTGTTTTGGGACACCACATGCAACTATTGTTCACACAAAACACAGCTGCCTTAAGCGTTTTCAAAAGAAAACCAAATACAAATGTTAATGCAAGTTCTTCCCTGGGAGAGTGAGTGGGTGGTTGAGTTTCTGGGCTACACCCAGTGGGGCTCAGGGCTTAACTCTTGGCTCTCTGCTCAGGGATGATCCCTGGGGGTGCCTGGGGTGGGAGATTATGGGGGGGGGGGGTCATGGACCATATGCAGGGCCAGGGATTGAACCAGGACTGGCAGAGCACAAGGCAAGCGCTGTTAGCCCTGTGCTATCTCTTGAGTCCTCCAATGCAAGTTTTAGGAGAAGCATGCTGAAAGTAGACTATAGACCAAACATGATTGCCACTCAATGCCTCTTTTGCAAACCACAACACCCATAAGGAGAGCGAGAGAACAAAAGGGAATGTCCTGCCACAGAGGCAGGGTGGGATTGGGGGGGGTTGGGGGGGGAGGGATGCTGGGACCCGTGGTGGTGGGACATGGGCCCTGGTGGAGGGATGGATACTCGATCACTGTATAATTGAAACCCAAGCACAAACATTTGTAAGTCTACAACTGTACCTCATGGTGTCTCACTAATAAAAACTGAAAAAAAAAAAAAAAAAGAATAAGAAGCTCTTCAAACGGCTGCTCAGAAACGCCCAACGGGAAAGCAACCGACCGGCCACAATGCTCAGGAACAGAAGTGGGAAAGGGGAGAGGAAGAGAGACGCAGCGGGGAGGTGCCCCGCAGACCTACCAGGATGACCCCCAAGCTCCAGAGGTCACAGGACTCGTCGTAGCCACTGTGGTTGAAGAGCTCCGGGGCGGCGTAGTGCAGCGTGAAGCAGGGCGTCTTCAGGGGCTGGTTGTCCGGGGGCTTCAAGCGTGCAAACCCGAAATCAATCACTTTGATCTCTAGATTGTCGTTCTCATCCGTGAACAGTAAATTCTGCAAGACACAAAGGCGTGAGTGAGTTCCCGGGGGCTCGGACTGTTGGTGCAGCACCTATGTGACATTCTGGGGGTGCTGTGGGGGCCGCGTGGCTGGGCCCTGGGGAGCCCCGCTTTGTTGTCTGAGTATTATGTCATGCTGAGGGATGGGCTCTTGGGATTTTCACCCGAGTGAATGATTAGAACACAGTTCCTTTCTGCTTGCTTTAGTATTGGGGCTGCAGCCGGCAGTGCTTAGGGGCTATTCCCGGCTCAGCGTTCACAGGTGCTCTTGGCAGTGCTCTGAGACCATCCAGTGCTGGGGACTGAACCCAGGCTGCCCGCTTGCAAAACCTGCCCTCAGCCTGTTGAGTCGTCTCTCCCACCCTAACAAAGACTGATTTCATTTTATTTATTTATTTTTGGGGGCCTGGAAAGCTACCCGTGAGGTATTCGATATGGCAAACACAATAACAAGTCTCACAATGAAGACATTACTGGGTCCGCTTGAGCAAATCGATAAACAACGGGAGGACCGTGACCGTGACCATTTTTGGGGGCCATGCTTGGTGGTGGCTCAGGCCTTATTCCTGGTGCTGTGCTCAGGGATCACTCCTGGAAATGCTCAGGGGAAATGCTGGGAATTGAATCCAGGTCAGTCAGCTACATGCAAGACACGCACCCTAACCGCTATACTGTTGCTCAGACCCCCAAACATTTAACTTTTAAGTGTATGAAGTCATGCGGCATTTTCCAATTGCAACAGCCTCACTCTCCTGAGGTGCTTCTTCTCTGCTGGCATCGATTTGTCTTCTGTTCCTCAGCCAAGCTTCCTTTCAGCTTGTCTTGGTTTAACTGGTCCTCCTTCAGAAACACCACTTTAACCCTGCCCCCAGACAGAAGCTAGAACTTTCCGGATTTCCTCCCAGAGTTATTGAGGTTTTCTTCCCGGCAGGGATCATTGCTTGCTTAGTTTTGTGCCTTCACCACCCCAAGGCTGTAATTTCATAAGATCAAGTACTGTGTTCAGCTGATTGTTAAGCCTATTCCCTGGGCTTTGGGGGACGGAGCAGGGCAAGTCACATAGTAGGTGCTTTGGTCAATGTCTTTCACGGAATGAGGTCATAAGGAAAACCTTGAATCACAGGAGCTCGAATAGAACCTACTAAATAAAGAAGGCATGGTGGAGACAAAGCACATTTCAGAAAAACACTGAATACTTAAAAATATGATCCCAGTTACAGACCAAAACAATTGTTACTTTGAATCACCCATCACCGAGCCTTCTCAATCACTAAGGTTGTCGTGGGCACTACTTTTGTGCTTCTCACAAGCCTAATAAATGCAAAGCTGAGCTGATCTGAAAACATCATTTTTTCTTAGGACATAAAGCCCCGGGGAGAGGAGAGTGAATGTGATTACATTCTTAGACATCCTAACAAAATCTGCTCTGCCTTTATGTTTGTTAAGTTATTCCCGAGCTCTGGAACATCATTTACTTTGTTAACATCATTCTAATGGGAATCAAAGACATAAGAAAAGGCTTCTTTGAATCACAGAAGAAAAATCTTCCAAACCTTTCATTCAAAAGTTAAAAATGAACCCAGTGGGAGGAAAGAGATGCAAGGAAATGAACGGGAAAGTTTTCTTAACATTTCTATCCTAGAGTGCTTGAGCCTTAGAGTTGTAAGGATTTGAATGATCCCCAGAACCAGACTGTGGTCCCCAAGCACCACTGGAAGGGGTGCGTGAGTCTGCAGCACCTCTGGGTGTGGCCAAAAAGAAACAAAAGGGAACAATGTAAAAGTTGATAGAAGGAGGTGGAAGGCTCCATCACAACAGAAGTTTTGGAGAGGATCCCAGGGCGGGTTATCGTGGAAGAACCAGCCCAGCAAAACCCTGAGTCTCCATGGCCCGGGACCCGACACTGGTTGATTCTGAGCTTTGATGATGTAAGAGCTTGGGGCTCTAAGTTCTCCAAGTGGAGGGGATGTTCCCCTTTCCTCCTATCTCCAAGGGGGGTGCGGTGTGTGTGCTGGGTTCAGTAGGCAGGAAATGACCCGAACCCCTTCTGCTTGCCCTCAGTTGTTGTTCTTCTTCTTCTTTTCTTTTTGGGTCATTCCTGGCGATGCACAGGGGTTACTCCTGGCTCTGCACTCAGGAATTACTCCTGGCAGTGCTCAAGGGACGATATGGGATGCTGGGAATTGAACCCGGGTTGGCCGTTTGCAAGGCAAACACCCTACCCTCTGTGCTATCGCTTCAGCCCCTGTCCTCAGTTCTGTCTCAAACTAAGTTGGTAGGCCTTTTTTTCCGCCCCTTCATCATTCAAGAGAATGGAGACCAGTTTGGAAAAAATATAAGGCAGTCTACTTAGAATGTCAGGCAGCTTCTAAATATATCTGCTTCGCACCTAGAAAAATTTAGGATATGCTTATGGTGACGACGGATATCATATAACTCTCTACCTAAAGACAGATAAGCAGGGTCTGGGGAAGTAACTTGGAAGGATGGAGAGCAGGACGAGCACGCAGAGATCCAGAACATGCTTCCTGCCACTCCTCTGAGCATCTCGGGGTGTGCCCATCACCCCCCCCAAAAAAAAAGGTCTATTCTCAGATCTTAAAATCCTCCATCAACAGGAAAGGGATTAATCTTTTGCATGGAAAGAAGATATCCTGCCATTTGAAAGTCAAAGTGATTGCTATTTTTTTTTAAAGGAAATCTAAGTACAAAGGTGCTTATTTTCACTTCTCCAAAATAGATTTTTTTTTTGATCTTAGGCTCTAACTGCTGTCGAATGCCCCGAATAAACCTGGCAGTTCTTCATCTCCAGTGACTGAAAGAAAAACTTTAGGCTAAGGAAGTTATCTTTTTATTAGAAAAACAGGGAGGCACATGGAAATTCTGCTGGAGAACACGGTGGCATCATCTGAAATGCAGGGGACGACAGATGGCCAGTTATCAAAGAATAAAACATGTGAAAATGAATTCTCTACAGTCGTGGAACGGAGCCTTTCAATTAAAAAAAAATGACATGCTTGTGCCTTGTCTATCAAAAAGCCATTTAAGTGGTGTGCTACCATGGGCGCCGGCAGACAGCTCAGCTCTGAGATGCACAGAGCCATCTTTTCCGTGGGCGGCGTGTGGGAGAGCGAGAACGGTCGCGGGGGAAGCCGAGGGGCAGCTCCCAGAGAGGCAAGTTCACAGCACACGCTTGCCCGGAGGACGGCGGTTAATCACACGCCTGGCGGCACAGACAAGAAGGAGATGGATGTGTAGACAGACTAGGCGTCTCCCTCAGAGTTGAATACTGAGGGTTCATTTTCTTTTCTTTTCTTTTCTTTTTTTCTTGGGTCACACCTGGCGATGCACAGGGGTTACTCCTGACTCATGCACTCAGGAATTATGCCTGACGTTGCTCAGGGGACCATATGGGATGCTGGGAATCGAACCCGGGTGGGCTGCGTGCAAGGCAAACGCCCTACCCGCTGTGCTATTGCTCCAGCCCCCCCGCCCCCCGAGGGTTCATTTTCAAAACCATCCTTTTCTTCCCAATAATCCCCAGAGCCTTCAACACAAGGCAACAAAATGGGAGCTTTCTGAGGAACAGTCCGCCGTGATCTAAACGAGAACATTAAATGTCATCTAATTCTTTTAAATAGACTTCGGGACGTATTATCATCACGCGGTAATTAAGAACGAGGCTCTCTGTTCTGGGGAGAATGTGTGTATCATTTCGCATATGTTGAAGGCTGAGTCACAGTTATTATCCCTTGAAAAAAATGACTTGGTTTTATTTTCCAATTTCCATTATTATTATTTGGATGATCTTCTGGAAGGGAGGAAATTTTTTTTTTTTGACTTGGGGTACTAAAAATGGGATCACTGTAAAAGTTTTTGAACTGTCTCGATTAACCTTTGAAAAATATATGTAAAAAAGCTGCTCGCTTGGTGTTGTTGCATGATTCTATAAATATTATAGTACATAGGCCAGGAAAGCACATGAAGGAAGCTGATTGTACCAGGACAGGGCCAGAACAACAGACAACAGGGAGGGTGCTTGCTTTGCACACGGCTTTGATCCCCAGCATCCCCTAGGGAGCACCAGGAGTGACCCCTGAGCACAGAACCAGGAGTAAGCCCCAAGCACTGCTGGGTGTGTCCCCAAAACAAAACCCCCCAAACTGTACCAGGATAATCACGTATAGTGAAATGATTTAGAACAGCATGATATGCATTCCTATTCATAAGCTAATCAAATCTGATCGTAAGTGTGTAAAAAAAAAAGCCTCCCAAATACATCATGAAAGAAAGAACCCCCCCAACTAAAAGAGTATACATATAGAAGGCATATTATTTTCTGTTACAAAAATTTCCATGGTTATTTTTAGTCTACAATTGTTGCATAAAGCATTTCTTCCATAAAAGGCTCTCACGCTTACAAATATAACCTCGAGAAGATCAGCTGGTGAAAAGAAAAAAAAAAAAAAAGGAAAAGGAACGAAATTTTAGACTGTAATAGGAAAAAAAAAAAAGAAATCCAAGAAACAGGATCTTTGCGAGAATGTCTTAGCAGTCACTCCGGAAAGTCATAGAAATAAAAACCCGCAGAAATACCCGCACAGGCTGGGGAGACCTGAGGGCCACAGGCGGGTGTGACGGGAGGGGAGGTGGGAGCCCCTACCTCGGGCTTCAGGTCCCGGTGCACCACGCCGACGTCATGCATGTGGCTCACGGCGGAGACGAGCTTCCGCATGATGTAGCTGGCCTCCGTCTCACTGAAGTGCTTCTTCTTCTTGATGCGTTCAAACAGCTCCCCGCCATTCAGAAGCTCCATCACGAGGAATGTGTGAAGCTAGAAAGAGAAAAAGAGGAGCCGTGGATGCCCGGAGAAAGGGCAGAGGGGTCCCTCACCTGGATGCTGCTGAACAGTGAGCTGTCACCCAGAACTGAGGGGGATATCCCCCTGGCTAGGGGAACCAGCCCGCACCCCGAGAAACGCAGGGGCTGGAGTTGGAGGAGGATGTGGCCTTTACAGAATGCCATTTCGGTGGTGGAAAATTTCAAGTCTTGCAGCAAAAAATCTATCTTTTCCTTGACAAATACTTCTCTTTCAATTCTATCCCCAGCCTCTCTATCAAGTTTGCGGCTCTTGGGGCCGGAGCGATAGTATGGCAGGTAGGAGGTTTGCCTTGCACACGGCCGGCCCAGGTTTGATTCCCGGCATTCCATATGGTCCCCTAAGCATCGCCCAGAGTGATTCCTGAGTGCAGTCAAGAGTAATCCCTGAGCACTGCCGGGTGTGACCCCCCCAAAAAAGTTTGTGTCTCTTTCTTCTAAAAGTGGGGCTCTGTGCAGATAATCATGAAATCACTGTCACTGTCACTGTCCTCCCGTTGTTCATCTATTTGCTCTAGCGGGCACCAGTAACGTCTCCATTGTGAGACTTGTTGTTACTGTTTTTGGCATATCGAATATGCCACAGGGAGTTTGCCAGGCTCTGCCGTGCAGGCGGGATACTCTCGTTAGTTTGCCAGGTTCTCTGAGACGAACGGAGGAATCAAACCCGAGTTGGCTGAGTGCAAGGCAAACGCCCTACCCGCTGTGCTATTGCTCCAGCACCGCACATTTTTTTTTTATTTGACTCCCTTAAATCATACATACAGTCAGCTTGCAGGATTTAATATGAATCTTTGCAGGAGTAATCTTGCAAGAAAATCTGCCCTCATATTGGTGGAGGGAAGGAAGGTTTCACTGGTGGTGTTGGAACACTAAATGCTTGAAACAACAGTTTAATGAACAACTCTGTAAATCATACTGTTTTTAATAAAAATTAATAAAATCTGCCCTTGATTTTCAAGATTAATAAAGTAATTATAATAAATATGAATATAGTAATACTGTCACTGTCACTGTCCTCCCATTGTTCATTGATTTGCTCGAGCGGGAACCAGTAACATCTCCATTGTGAGACTTGTTGTTACTGTTTTTGGCATATTGAATACATCACGGGTAACTTGCCAGGCTTTGCCGTGTGGGCAAGATACTCTCAGTAGCTTGCCGGACTCTCCGAGAGGGGCAGAGAAATCGAACTGGGGTCGGCCATGTTGGCCACTTGCAAGGCAAAAGCCCTACCCGCTGTGCTATCGCTCCAGTCCAGAGTAATACATATTTCCAATATTAATAAGGTAACTTTGCAGGAGGCGGCATACCCATGCAAAGGCCACTTGCCCTCTCCTGACAGGTCCGGCTTACTGATGTCACTTTGAACCTCTGTTAGGGATCAAAGAGTAGTTTCAGGGTCCCTGTTAATACCCAACGGTCACTGCAGGTTCTTCAAAGAAAGGCTTCCGGGGCTGGAATGATAGCACAGTGGGTAGGGCATTTGCCTTGCATGTGGCTGAGCCAGGCTTGATTCCCAGAACCCCATATGGTCCTCTGAGCACTGCCAAAAGGAATTCCTGAGTGCAGAGCCAGGAGACACCCCTGTGCATTGCCGGGTGTGACCCAAAAAGCAAGCAAGCAAGCAAGACAGGCTTCTGATTCCAACATTATCTTAACCAAATTGTATTTAAAAATACATGTTTTGCATACATTTCCATAAATAAAATGAAGTGCAGGAGCTACCCCCAAAAACAAAGGAGCCATGTCACTTCTCAAATGAACACAAGTGGGTATTTTTTTTTAAGTTACCAAATCAATATTCAAATCCAGGTGCTCTACATTATAACACCAACAAAACGCCACAAACAAAATGTTCTCCTGCAAATTAGCAAGATCCAGAAAGATTACTTTATACATATATAAAAGCAAATTATAAATACATTACCCAGCACATGGCAGGGAAACTGTAAAGGGTGAATCTTTAAAAACACCCCCATTGGGACTGGAGTGATAGTATAGCGGGAAGGGTGTTTGCCTTGCATGCAGCCATCCTAGGTTTGATCCCTGGCATACCCTAAGGTCCCTTAAGCACTGCCAGGAGTAATTCCTGAGTGCAGAGCCAGGGGCAACCTCTGAGCATTGCTGGGCATGACCCAAAAAGCCAATATATATATTGGCTGCAATGATAGCACAGCGGGTAGAGTGTTTGCCTTCCATGCAGCCAACATGGCTGACCCGAGTTCGATTCCTCTGCCCCTCTCGGAGAGCCCGGCAAGCTACCGAGAGTATCTCGCCCGCACGGCAGAGCCTGGCAAGCTCCCCGTGACGTATTTGATATGCCAAATACAGTAAAAAATCTCACAATGTTACTGGGTGTGCCTGAGCAAATTGATGAACAACGGGAGGACAGTGACAGTGATATAAACAAATGCCCCAGGCTACTAGGGATCAGGCCAATCCTGATGGGTACTCAATCATTGTATAACTGAAACCCAAGCAAAACATATTTGTAAGTCTACAACTATACCTCATGGTGTTTCACTAATAAAAATTAAAAAAAAAAAAGGTGCAAGCAGGCCAAAGGCATACACCAGTGAACTTGAAAAACTCCCGGGTCAGGAGAAAGAGGACAGGACGGCAAGTAGGGCAAGTAGGACGTTTGCCTTGCATGCTGCCAACTGGGTTTGGTCCTCGGCACTCCTGATGATCCCTCGAGTAACTGCCAGGAGTAATTCCTGAGTACAGAGCCAGGAGTCACCCCTGAGCATCGCCAGGTGTGACCCCCCCCAAACAAACAAACAAACAAACAAACAAATAAATCAATGCAACTTAAAAAAAAAATAAAGCTCCATGGTGATGCCACAGCTGAACAGCCAACATGAGGAGACCCGGAAAAGATCCACATCACCCTCAGGGTCCGCCCACCTGCCTGGGTATCAAGCAGTGCTCAGAGAGCAGTGATGCATCTGAACCTGACAGTACAGGACTCGGCCATGAGATGACTTAAGAGTCCGGGATCTGGCCGTAGATATTTGTTTTCCACTATATACATATATATATATATGCATACACATATATATTAATATTAATATCCCACAAATGAATGCAGTCATTCTATATCTGACCCTCTTCTTTGGACTCGTTTTCACTCTGCATGATATTCCATGTCTACCCATTTATCAGCAAATTTCATGACTTCATTTTTCCTATGAAAAACGGCAGAGTCTGGCAAACTCCCCGTGGCGTACCCAATATGCCAAATACCAGTAACAATGATGGGTCTCATTCTCCTAACCCTGAAAGAGCCTTTAATGTGGCACTTTTTAAAAAATCTCAGGGCTAGGATGAAGGAGACGTTACTGGTGCCTGCTCGAGGCAATCGACGAACAACAGGATGGTCGTGATCGTGATCGTGATTTTTCCTAACCACACTGCAGGGGGAGAGGGAAGGAGGGAGGGAGGGAGGGACGGAGGGAGGGACGGAGGGGGGGGGGAGAGAGAGAGAGAGAGAGAGAGAGAGAGAGAGAGAGAGAGAGAGAGAGAGAGAGAAAGTGCAGGCAAGTGGGGGAAGGGGTGATGGGAGGGAACCTGGGGACACCGGTGCTGGGAAATGTACACTGGTGGAGGGATGGGTGTTGGAACACTGTATGACTGAAACCTAATCATGCACACCTTTGTAAGGCTCTGTCACTGTCACTGTCCTCTCGTTGTTTATCGATTTGCTTGTGCAGGCCCAGTAACATCTCCATTGGAGACTTTGTTGTTACTGTGTCTGGCATATCGAATACGTCACGTGTAGCTTGCCAGGCTCTGCCGTGCAGGCAAGATACTCTCGGTAGCTTGCCGGGCTCTTTGAGAGGGGCGGAGGAATCAAATTCGGGTTGGCCATGTTGGCTGCGTGCAAAGCAAACGCCGTACCGCTGTGCTATTGCTCCAGCCCTGTAAGGCTCTCTCTAACAGTGATTCAACACAAAGAAATTAAAAACTTAAATTAAAAAAAAAAAAGAGCCTGGGACTTCGAAAACATAAAACGTCAGGAGGGGAATTTGGGCCCGGATGTGCCAGCGGCCTTCAGCGCAGAGATGGTCTGTCAGGAGCACGTGGGGGCACAGCCGTCAGGGCAGAGGGGACCAACCAAGGCCGCCGCCCGGATCATCTCCCACAGGAGACGGATGGCCCTTGATGCTCCTTTCTCTGACGAACGAGAACTGAAGAGCAAAATGATGGTGACATCACCTTCTGGAGCTCGCTCTGGTGACGTGGCTGCAGAGCCAAGCACTGGAAAGCTGGTTCTGGGGGCCGGAAAGCGGCTACAGCAGAGAGGCCACCTTCCATGCGTGTGGCTGACCAGGGATCCACACCCCTGGCATCCCACATGGTCCCCCGAATACCGCCAGGAGTGATCACAAAGTGCGGAGCCAGGTGTCAGCCCTGAGGTCTGCTGGGTGTGGCCCAGAAAGCCAAACAAACAAACAAACAAACAAACAACCCAACCAAACCAAAGAAGGTTCTGAAGCCAGAGTGAGACCCACCATTGCCACGCACAAACCAAGTGAGGCTGCAGCTCGCGCCAGGTCACGGGGCGGCTAATGCCTGAAGGAGGCAACGCACGTGGCACAGGGCATGGGCTGGACAGCGCCGGGGCCCTGTGGGTGCATGAGGGACAGCGGTGGCAGGAGCCGGAGTCTCGGTGCTCTGTTTCTGTTCCACTCTGGCCCAGAGTACTCCGGGAAGGTGTGCATGTGGCAGAGAACTGGCTTGTGGCCCTTCTGCAACCTGGGCATCACTGTGGCACAGTAGAGCCGGCCCAGCTTTTCGACTCGAGGTCCACTACTTGCTGTGTGAGCCTGGGCACGTCTCGGGACCTTTCCAAACCCGAGCGTCTCCGGTAAAACCAGGCTCAGGTACACCCAGGATTGGGTTGGCCCCTGGTTTTGGTTTGAGGGCCACACCCGAGGGGGCCCAGGCCTGATTCCTGGCTCTGTCCTAAGGAGTCACTCCTGGTGGGGCTCCGGGAACCGTACGGGGTGCCAGGAATCGAACCTGGGTCGGCTGTGTGCAAGGCAAGTTCCCTCCCCGCTGTACTACGGCTCCAGTCCTTGGGGCTAAGTGTTACTTGGGGTGGGATGGCACCAGCCCACCCAGCCCGTGGGGGACAGGGCTGTTACGGGAGTTAATATCGATTATTGAAGGTGGAGGGATGTGGGGGGTGAGGGGACAGAGATCTGACATGGTGGCCCTCCTCTGTGTCTCGTCGCCCATTTCTGTGTGTGATTTCCTGGAGGGAAACGGGAGCGTGCAGGAAGGGACGGCACCGCCCATAGTGGGCTGAGCAGGGGAGTCTCTCTGCCTATTGCTGCCTGGCTGCTCTGACTAGGTGTACCCCCTCTCGGAGCAGCTGGGGAGGGGGAGACTCCCCAGGGCTCCGGCCTTTCCTACTTGTGAGGGGCAAAAGCAGGAGGCGAAAGAGGCCCTGGTTGGGGATCTCTGCCCCCTTGGGTGCTGGGTTGCACCCCTTCACCCTGAGCCCGCCCCCACAGCACCCACCCCTGGCTTGGGAGTCAGCACATGCAGGAGAGAGCCGGGGTACCTGGTCATGAAACACTTCGTGCAGTTTCACGATATTGGGGTGGCCTTCACAGAGCTTCAGAGCCGTGATTTCCTTCTGTGTGTTGGCCTCCATCCTGCAAGAAGGGGCCATGAAGCCGCCGGACGCTTCCCGCATCGAGGGCTGTACTGCAACCCCCTTCCCTGCCCCAAGCCCACTTTGTTTTTATTTACAGTGTGTTCCGAACATTCGTGGTAAAACACAGAATGAGGTTTCCATGAACGAGATGAGTCACACCACCCACCCGCCCGGGGAAACGCATTATTCTGAGGAAAATGACGATTTCTGAGTCAGAAAAGAGCTGATAATGGGAAGAAATGGATGTCCTCCTTGCCTGGAAGCTCGGGAATCAGAATAGACAATCATGGAGATAATTACCAGTTACCAACACAACTGCCCGCTCGCAGGGCTACCAGCAGCTAGTAAAATCAACCCAGAAAAGGTTTTTTTTTTTTTTTTCCCCCAGCATCCCACTCAGGAAAGGCAACAGCTGCCGGAACGGCTAACGAGGTCTGGGTCAGGGTCAGGCCACAGGAAAATCTCCCCCAAATTAATTCAGAGATAGAGGACAAAGAATGGTCCCTGAAGTGCATTAATTACTGTGTCAGTCTAGGGATAGTAGATACACAGGACAGGTAGATTTCTCCATAGCTGGAAGCCTGCCTCATGAGCAAAGGGGAGAAGGCAGCTGGAATAGAGAAGGGATCACTAAGAAAATGATGGCTGGAGGAATCGGTCGGGATGGGAGATGTGTGCAGAGTAGATAAAGGACCAAACATGATGACCTCCCAGGGTCTGTATTGCATACCATAATGCCCAAATGCAGAGAGAGATTATGGGGAATCATGTCTGTCATGGAGGCAGGGGGAGGATGAGAAAGGGGGAGTATACCATGGATATTGGTGGTGGGGAATGTGCACTGGTGGAAGGATGGGTGCTTGATCATTGTGTGATTGTAACCCAAACATGAAAGCTTGTAATTATCTCACAGTGATTCAATAAAATTAAAAAAAAAATTACTGTGTCAGAAAGAGCTATGTAGGTTACAAGTCTGACAGCTCACTGACCAGTCAGATGGCTATATCCATGGGTAAAAAGCCCAACAATAATATACCATGGATTTTAAAATACAAAAATACTGAATGACAGACTGTAATGACTAGGATGAATACAGGTGAGAGACAGCCAGAAATGGCCATACCTTTTGCTGATGATCTTGACCGCGAAGGCTTGGTTACTTTTTTTGTGCACACACTTCCGACAAATTGAAAAACTTCCTTCTCCCAAAGGTTTGTCCTTCAGGTCGAGGTCATAGTGTTGGTAGAATGGGGAGTCCTGGTAAGAAACCAGCAGCATTAACTGAAGGAATTACTAGGAATGCAGTAGTGAGAAATCAAGTTGGAAAGAACAGTTACTTTGTGGGACTCCATATGGCCGGAATATAAGGGTCATCCCAAATCCCTCTTAGTTTAGTTCATTTCCATTTTTTTTTCCCTTTTTGGGTCACACCCGGCTTTGCACAGGGGTTACTCCTGGCTCATGCACTCAGGAATTACTCCTGGCAGTGCTCAGGGCACCATATGGAATGCTAGGAATCAAACCCAGGTCGGCCGCGTGCAAGGCAAACACCCTACTCACTGTGCTATTGCTCCAACCCCTCATTTCCATTTTCATCGCTCTCATTTAGGAAAACTAATTTTCTACCAATGTACAAAGGAGCTCATCCAAACAGATGCTAATAATGGTCGAAGGCGAATGTTGCTATTTCTATGTGCTTGTTTAAAAAAAATATTGCAGCTCAGTTGAATGTTAAGTCTATTCATTTCACTGGCCCTGAGCCATCGCTGGTATTTAAAACATAAATACGTGCTTGGGTTAGTCTCGATTCTGTACCTTCATCATTGCGCTTCTGGCCACGTTTGTAGCGCCGGGACGCTCCACACCCATATGAAACTGCAGTGGGTCAATGACCGCCGCATTCCGCTTGAAGAGGATCGAAGGGGCCACGAAGGAATAGCCCTGAAAGTGAAATAAAGCCAAGAAGAGAGTAAGGGCCCGAAAGTTCCAAGCTCAGACAAGACGGCAATACATCCTGTTATCTTACACCAAGGGTGGAAGGGGTGGGGGCTGGGGAGAGAAATAAAACACTCAAGTATTTGTTAAGGAAAATCTGATATTATTTCAGCTGCAATCCTAAATGCAAGGTTGTTTCAAATCAATGCAGAAACGCCTTGTGGAAGGAGACAATGCCATCTTCTGGCAGAATTCAACCAATTCAACCACGAAAGCAGAAAAAGGATGTTCTTACTAGTCCACTCTCAGGATCTGAAGAATTCTTTTGCTTTGCTCATAAACGTGTTACAAGCACAAAAAAAATTCTTAAAAAAAAAAATAAAAGACCAAAAAGTTAAAGGTATGAGACAACGTGGTTCAAGTCTACCTTTTTTTTTTTTTCAAAGTAGAAAAATAGGAAGATTGGGGACTGCAGTGAGTACAGCGAGTAGGGAGTTTGCCTCACACGTAACCGACCTGCATTTGGTCCCCGGCATCCCATATGGTCCCCCAAGCACCAGCAGGAGTTATTCCTGAGTGTAGAGCCAGGAGAAATCCTTGAGCAAATCAAGGTGTGGCCCTTTACCCCCCCCCCAAAATAGCAAGTTTTAGTGTAGTTTCTAATTCATTGATTCAGTATTTACTGTTCATAGCTGTGAGAGATCCTAGCAGAAATGAACAAGCTGAAATGGATAGAGATACTGTCTCAATGAGGCCATGCTAGAGGCAGACTTACTGGAGTAAGAAGTAGGCTGTGATGCCCTCAAAGTGAGTATGTATCCCATGTCCAAGCGTTTTGCAAATGCAGAATCCTTTCAAACCTTTTTATTTGTATCTTAATTTTTTTCTTATTTATTTCTGGACCCTCCCAAGCCATGCTCAGGGTCACCCACGGTGATTCTTGACCAACCAAGTCAGGGTTAAATATTAGTCACTGAAAACAATGAATGAGACAGCACTGCTTATGAACTACAGAAGATTTTCAAAATAAGTAGTTTCCCACTTATGTTAAAGAGTCTGAACATGGCCTAGGGAGACAGGACAAATGTTGAAAGCGTCTGCCTTGTATGCAGCTGACCCCAATTTGATCCCTGGTGCTGCATGGGATCCCAAGGTGACCCCCGCCCCCCACAAGCACAGAGCAGGAAAGAGCTCTTGAGCACTGTTGGCTTTGTGGACACAACAAAGTCTGAACAAATAAAAAAAAAGAACTCAAGTAGAAAGCCCTCACTTTTTTTATATAAAAATGCGCATGTGGGGCTGGAGTGATAGCACAGCAGGTAGGGCATTTGCCTTGCATGCAGCCGACCCGGGTTCGATTCCCAGCATCCCACATGGTCTCCTGAGCACCGCCAGGAGTGATTTCTGAGTGTAAAGCCAGGAGTCACCCCTGTGCATCATTGAGCACAACACAAAAAACAAACAAAAAACCACAAAAACGCATGTGAATATCAGTTGTTGAACAAACTACAGGCTTCAGCTAACAATCACGTGATCTCTGCTACTGGATAATTTCAGAGACAAGAGGATTCCATTTTGAGATGTCAAAGAGCCTTTCCTGGGGGGAAATGGCCTTGCCTCCCCAGCACACAGGGCCCGTGCGTGCATGCCCGGGACCCCCTGACCTAGGGTGGGCCCTGGAACCCTGTGTGTACCTGGAAGAGCCTCTCGGAGCTCTGGGGCAGCGCCGCGGGTGAGTAGGTGGGGTCCATCTCTGTGAACTCCTCCGCAAAGTTACTCACGTCCAGCTCATCCCGGATGACTGGCTTGAAAGGGGCGGGCACTTTCTTGGCAGCTAAATCGTCCCAGTTTATTTTCTGAAACAGAGCAAGAGCGTTGGTGCAAAGTGGACGTCCACTGAGATGCGATCTCATGTTCTAAGCACGTTCCCCAAGGTGCCAGGATTTGTAATCCACTGAACTATACTTTCCACGCAGACAGCGTCCCCGCACGACAGCTCCACGGGAGGGTCTGTGAACCTCACCAGCGTCCCTAGGAGCCCTCTCAGGCCCCTTCCCAGAAAGTTTGGTCAGAATTTCCAGTTCCCATGACTTGGACCATTTGCTGTTCCCACACCATGTCTCTTTTATATCACACATATGAGAGATATCTTTAAAAAAAATTATGGTGAAGGGGGAAACATCTACACACCTATAGAGAAATAGAGCTCAACTCCAAAACTGTATAAAATTGCAAATCAATGATAAGCTGATGAAATATATCCTGCGCCCCCCCCAAAAAAAAAAAACCTGTTTATCTTTTGGGCCAGGGATATTGTATAGGATTAAAACATTTGCCTTGCAAGTGGAGCAGAGGGAGTGGACCACACCTCACTATGGTTCCCTGAATTGGCCAGAAGTAGGGATCTATTTTATAAGACTAACAAAGATAAGGGCTGGAGTGATAGTCCAGCAGATAGGGCATTTGCCTTGCACATGCCTAACCTGGGTTTGATCCCTGGCACTCCATATGCCTCCCTCCCCGGTCCCCACGAGGAGCGATTCCCTAAGAGCAAAGCCAGGAGTAAGCCCTGAGCAACAGTGGGTGCGTGGTCCCCCCAAAAAACAAAACAAAAAAAATTGCAACAAAGACCGTGTAAAACTCTAACTGATCAAGAAGGAGAAAGCCATATTATAAATCAATTGTAGCACTGTAGCACTGTCCTCCCGTCGTTCATCGATTTGCTCGAGGGGGTACCAGTAACGTCCCCATTGTGAGACTTGTTACTGTTTTTGGCATATCGAATACGCCACAGGGAGCTTGCCAGGCTCTGCTGTGTGGGTGAGAGACTTTCGGTAGCTTGCCGGGCTCACTGAGAGGGACGGAGGAATCGAACCCGGGACAAGTATTCCCCCACCCTCAACCCCAGCATCATGCCATCTTCCCGACTGCAGCTCGGGCTCAGCTAGTGTTGGGTCTGAAGACAAGGTTGCACCTCCCGGCCGGTCCCAGCCAGGAGCAAGAGGACAGCTTGGTCTGCCCGCAGGGATGGCAAATATCCCTCTTGTCTTGAAATGCCGGAAGAAGGCCTGATGCCCAAACAAGACGGAACCAAGCCCAGACTAAACCTCCACAGAGGATGTTAAACTGCTCTACAGACAGTGAAGATGAACTCTGATAGAGCAGCTACATTTCCCAGTGGGCCTGTTAATTCTGAGAGTTACTTTCCCTGTCTGACCATTCCAGCAAGATTAGCCAAGACACAAACTCACTGTAGACTCTGCATTTGTTTAATGATGTCTGAAAGACACTGTCATACTGATCTACTCACCTGTCTCCCTTCCACCCACCAACTGTAGTCAAGCATTTTATTTTATTCTTTCATTTTGGCTGGTGCTGGGAGTGAAACTCAGGGCCTTACACGTGCACAGAATGTGCCCTGTAGTTGAGTCACAGCACTAGCCCTTTGTTTTTTAAAATTGATTTGCCATTGCTCCATAGCTGGAAGCCTGCCTCATGAACAAAGGGGAGAAGGCAGCTGGAATAGAGAAGGGATCACTAAGAAAATGATGGCTGGAGGAATTGGTCGGGCTGGGAGATGTGTGCAGAAAGTAGAAAAAGGACCAAACATGATAACCTCTCAGGGTCTGGATTGCCAATCATAATGCCCAAAAGTGGAGAGAGATTATGGGGAATCATGTCTGCCATGGAGGCAGAGGGAGGGTGGGGAAGGTGGGTTATACCGGGGATATTGGTGATGGGGAATGTGCACTGGTGGAGGGATGGGTGTTTGATCATTGTGTGACTGTAACCCAAACATGAAAGCTTTTCAGTATCTCACGGTGATTCAATAAAATTTTAAAAAAATAGAAAAAAAATTGATTTGCCAAGGGTTTGCAGTACTGGCATACTTCAGAAGAACAACCTCAATATTTTTTTTATTTGCTTTTTTGGGTCACACCCGACCATGCACAGTGGTTGCTTCTGGCTTTGCACTCAGAAATTACTCCTGGCAGTGCCTGGGGGACCATATTGGATGCCGGGAATCGAACCTGGGTCGGCCGTGTGCAAGGCAAATGCCCTCCCCGCTGTACTATCGCTCTAGCCCCGCCGCCTCAATCTTGATGGATGTTCAGACTCATGGCATCTGGTGCCCAAGATCCAAACAGAACCCCTCAACTATGCCTCCTCCCCCCACCCCCTCCCCTGCCTTTTGGTAACCACCTCAGTTATAGCTATTTTGCGGTGACTTTTATTTAGTTTTGTGGCCACACCCGGTGGTGCTCAGGGCTTGCTCCTGGCTCTGAGCTCAGGGATCAGTTCTGGAGGGCTCAGGATCACATGGGGTGCAGGGGATTGAACCTCAGTTCGCCATGTGCAAGACCAGTGTCTTACCCCCTGTCCTATCACTCCAGTTTTGAAGAGCGATTTACCATTGTGCTTTGTCAATTTTTTCCCTCTGGTTATTTATTATCCACAGAAGAGTGGAGTCATCGAGGAATTGTTCAAGAATTAAACACAGCCTCTTCTCACCCATACGTGGTAATTCAAGGCCCCTTGCACTCACTCACGCCAGACAGGTCTGCCTGATAAACGGTGATGTTTGCTATGATTCAACGGTCTACTCTCTCCTTATGCTCCTTTTGTGACTTACACAGCTTCAGTTAATGAACTGAATCCTAGACATCCTCTAGGAATGCATTTCACTGTATCTACAATGCTGGCAGTAGGGGCCAGAGTGAGAGTACAGTGGGTAAGTGGGTTGGGTGCTTGCCATGCATGTGGCTAACCCGGGTTGGATTCCCATTGCTCCATATGGTCCCCTGAGCCTGCCAGGAGTGACCCTTAGGCACAGAGTCAGGAGAAAACTCTGAGCAACGCCAAGTATGGTTCAACCACAACCCCTGCCTGCCCCCCCACCCACAAATATATATACAATAAAATAAAATGTTGGCAATAACATATACCACCATCTTATGGACTATTAAGAAAGAAAAAAGTGCTACCAATTACAGTAGTAAGATTTTGCCTGCTAGGAGATATGTACTGATTGCAGATAGAGTCAAGTGTGAAACCTGGATCTCTTGCTTGATGCTCAGTAAGTTTAATCAACAATGTTTTAATTATGCCCTCTTGTGGAGGGAGCGGAGATAAATTGATCAGATAAGAAATCTTAAATTGGGGGCGGCAGTGGGTTTCAGAGCGTTTTCAGTCATTTACTTCACGTCTTTTATTTGCTCTAGATAAAAATTGAAGTTTGGAAATAAGAACTATGCTTTTCAAGGCTGGAGCACTTGGAGTACAGCAGGGAGGGTGCTTGCTTTGCACAGAGCTGACCTGGGTTTGATCTCCGGCATCCCATATGGTCCCCTGAGCACCACCAGGAGTGACTCCTGAGTGCAGAGCTAGGAGTAACCCCTGAGCATCACCAGATGTGACCCCTAAAATAAAGTAAAAGTAAAGTAAAGACCCTTCCGTTGATCAACTGTATCTGGCATATAGAATACTCTTGGTAGCTTGCCGGGCTCTCCGACAAAAACAAAAAATAAAACAAACCAAAATAGCTAGGTTTTTCATTGAAATTATTTTGTTTTTGCTTGGGGGCTAACCCAGTTAGGCACGTAGGGGATGAACCAGGTGGTAGCACCGTAGCACTATCCTCCCGTTGTTCATCGATTTGCTAGAGCAGGCACCAGTAACGTCTCCATTGTGAAACTTGTTGTTACTGTTTTTGGCTGGCCGACCCGAGTTCGATTCCTCCGCCCCTCTCGGAGAGCCCGGCAAGCTACCGAGAGTATTCGATATGCCAAACACAGTAACAACAAAGTCTCCAATGGAGACGTTACTGGGCCCGCTCGAGCAAATCGACGATCAACGGGAGGGCCTTTACTTTACTTTACTTTACTTTACTGTTTTTGGCATATCGAATATGTCACTTGGGGAGTTTGCCATTCTTTGCCCTGCAGGTGGAATACTCTCGGTAGCTTTCCAGGTTCCCCGAGAAGGACAGAGGAATCAAACCCAGGTCAGCCAAGTGCAAGGCAAACGCCCTACCCGCTATGCTATTGCTCCGACCCTCCGGCACCAGGTCGTGCTGGGGGTCAAACCTTGGACCACCCACATACAAAGTAATTCAGCCCACTGAACTCACTCTCCAGACGAGCTTTTCACTTCAACATGAATGGGTATGTTAGCATCCAGACAGTCTTCTAAGCAACCCTCTAGTTAATGTCTTTCCTCCAAATGTCAGCGATGTTTTTCCTTAATAAATACTTGGCCTGTACTTAGCTACTGTATGTACATTAAGAGAAAGTTCTAGAGTGAAGGAGTAATTTAGAGAAATATGCCATTAGAAGAACATTTAGCATATAGAGCACTGAATGCTAATATCCACCTCCACTCCATCGAGGTCTTTACAAGTAGAAATCTCATCGTTCCTTAAGTGTCACTAATTTTAAAAAGCCAAGGCAATTAAGTAATCTAAAATTACTCCACTAAGATAGAGAAAAGAGACGTATCTCTAGTCTGAAAGATATACTGCAATAACTATAATAACTATAAATACTGGAAACCATAAAAAAAGACACTTGAAGGTATAATTGACAGTAATTTGCTTGACTATTTCTTGAATTTTATATTACTATTCATTTTTGAGCCAAACTTCTAGATATGTGATATTTTTTCAAATATTAACCATTCCAAGCCATATTAATCTATAAAATCCATGAAAATTTTATTTTAAATTCATTTCTCATTGTCACTGAACTTCTGCAAGACATGCATTGACATATTTAAAATTTTTATACCAAGAGACTGAAATGAATGTGCCCTGTTCTAAGCACAGAAGTACAAGGAGACTGTTCTTATATTCAATCAACTAATTTTCTATGTTTATTTATGTACTTTTCCTATATTTAATAAAAACATAAAAAATTTATAGCTCACATAACAAAATTCTTTTCTTAGCTTTGGTATGCTATTTTCATTTGTGATAATAATGTAAAAACTCCATTTGCAGAACTAAAATAGAACTTAGCTGGCCCTTTGAGAACAATATTTAGGTCAGTCTTGCTGATGGGATGAAATTATGTCAAAGTCCTGAACTCAGAACTCTTGCAAGCAAGGGTACCTGAAGTTTGGCCATTTAGATGGAGATGATAGTCAACTCAGTTCATCTCTTTTACTAGTTTATTGTTAGCTAGTTTTGCTTTGGGGCCATAACTGGCGGTGCTCAGGGGTTACTCCTGGCTCTGCACTAAGGAATTACTCCTGATGGTGCTCAGGGGACCATATGAGATGTCAGGGATTGAACCCTGATCAGGTGCATGCAAGGAAAGAGTCCTACCCACTGTACTATCTATCAAGACACATTGCCCACTCCCCAGCTCTGCCATTTTTGTGGTCATGTCTGACCCTGTTGGGCACAGAAATGATATGAGGTGCCAGGGATCAAACCTGGGTCGGCCATGTGCAAGGCAAGCACCCTATCTGCTGTGCTATATTTCTCTGGACTTTTTCATTTTTCCTGTTAGTTATCTAAAATTCTGGTGGCTTTTTGGAGGGCAGGGGCTACTAAATTGAGTAAGCTAAGTTGAGCCAACGCTTGGTGTCTGTGAAACTGTCTACACTCAGATTAAGACATGGCCACCACAAGTGTTAAGGAACATTTACGAATAATTCCCCACCTATAACTGAGAAACAGGCAGATCTGAATTAGCTATAGTTCTTCCTGGGAAGACAAAGAGATGAAACTATTAACATACATAAAGAAAAATCAATACTCAGAGACCAACCGATTAATAGGTAGGTTTCCCCGCCTCCCCACCTCACCCCATTTCATTGAGGGAGAAAACCACTATCTCCTTCTCTACAAGTACACGTCTGACCAATCCTTGGTGTTCTGTACTGTGTGTGCGTAACAGTGGACTGGCTTTATGTGAAAACAGAGAACTCGACCCAAAGGTGGGAATTCCACACCCTTCCCTAAGGATGCCGAGTACCCTGGTTCTAGCGGCCAGGCAGACAGATCCATTACGTTTCAACTCATTTCACCTGAAAAAAGAGATGCTCTTTGATTTCATCAGCATCACGGGGTCCACATCCCAATCTTTTCTTGGGATCTTTCATCAGCAGGCGTTGGATTAAGTCCTTAGCTACAGCACTCATTTCTTGGGGGTACGGAGGCTCACTTTTCAATATTCTCCTGTGGGCAGATGAAACTTGCTGTTACAACCACCAGAAGTGAAGCTGCAGCTGATGGTATTTTTAGCCAGAACAAGTACAGTGGAACACACTTGGAGGCAGCGAGAACATTCCCAACGAGATACCAAGTCATGACAGTTTTGTGACCGAAAGCAGCAGAAACCAAGGCCCGTCTTTCAGCGTGAGTCAATCCCAAAGGGAGACCACCACCCCTCTGCCCTGCATCCAATATTTAACTGAAAAGGGAAGGCTAGGGGCTAGAAGAGGCTGAACTATGGTATGGCCCAGATTTGATGATGAGAGATTCTACACAGGAAAGAGCATGCCATTGACTCAGAAAAGTGAGTTTTAGTGCTGGGACATGAAAGGGACATGAAAGGGAAATTCCTCTTTCCCTGTGTGTTGGCAGGAAGATGGGGCAGTGGGGGTGCAGTTGTCACTGAAGAAGGGGTATGGAATGGGAGTCACAGCCATGTGGAGAGGGCGCAACTCTGGACATGGGAAATGGAGCCCAGGAAAATGTGGCTTTCCCAGGGGCTGCTAGTAGGTCAGGATGCGTTTTCTTACTTGCTACTGGAATACAGATGGGCCTGGTAAGCCCGTGAAGCATGAGGCACGCAGCCCTCCAGGAGCGAGTCAATCCCACTATTCACCATTCACCCCCAGGAGTTACAGGAATGTTCACTTTCACAATTTTGATATACAAAGTCACTGCACCTGGGCTGGAGCGAGAGCACAAGCAGGTAGGGTGTTTGTCTTGCACTTGGCTGACCCGGGTTCAATTCCCAGCAACCCATATGGTCCCCTGAGCACCGCTAGGAGTAATTCCTGAGTGCATGAGCCAGGAGGAACCCCTGGGCATCGACGGGTGTGGCTCAAAACAACAAAAAAAAAAAGCAAAAAATCCCACACAAAACAAAAAGTCACTGCACTCCACCATGTCCACGTGAGTACCGAGTCCCTCCATCACGGGCCTGTCGCATTTCCACTCCGCCTCTTTCCCTCCTCTCCACTCCTCCCTCCTCCCCACAGTCCAGTCACTTCAGTCTTATAAATCCAGGTTTGTCATTGTCCCATAATGTCATGTTATTTTCCTACACCAAAGAGAGTGACATCATCTAGAATCTGTCCTTCACTCTCGGATTTATTTTATCCAACATGATACCCTCTGGCCCCGCCTGCCTTCATCTTGTCTTGTGGCCGCAGAGTATTCCATTATGTATAAATAGTGCCGCTTCTTTATCCCAGCCTCTGGGTTGTTATCTGGGTTGTTATCTGGTTGATATCTGGGTTGTTCCCAAATTCCGGTTACAGTACCACAGTTCTGCCATGAACCCGGGGTGCACATCACCTTTCCAAATCAACACTTCGGTGTTTGGGGGGTGGGGTAAAGTACAGAGGAGCAATTACTGGGTCATGTGGTAGCCCTCTTACATTTCTGGGAAATTTCTGGACTGTCTCCATGGAGGCCTTTCTTGCCACATTCCCACTGGCCTGGGTTGTCTTCTTGTCCTTTTGGTAAATGTCACTGTCACTGGCCCATGACAGGAATTCATTTTAATTTGCAATTCCCTGTGCACAAGTGGCCATAAACACTTTTTCCAAACACCATCCACATATCTTCTTTGAGAAAGTATCTCTTGGTCTCTTCTCCCCGTTTTGGTGTGGGACTGTTGGCTTTCCTGTGGGTGAGTCTTCTGGAGGCTTTCTGTATCTTGGGTAGCAGCCCTTTATCTGGTGATGGGCAAGTATTTTCATGTTTCAAGGTCTCTTTTAACTTAGATTGCTATTGTTTTGGTTTGGGGGCTACACCCGACAGTGCACCTGGCTCTGTGCTCCTGGCTCTGGCTCGCACCTACGGCAGGGTGCTCTCCGGGGTGCTGGGGCCAGACCCTGGTTTGTGCTTGTGCAGGGTAAGCACCCGACCCACTAAACCCCCTCTCAAGGCCTGTACTTGGGGTCAGAGTTTCAGCCATGCAAAATCCTTTTCGTTTGATGTCGCCTCATTTGTTTATTTTGGTTTGTTGAAGAAAAAAGGTGCTGATGTGGAGGGATAGAGACCACCATAGTATTCCATCATGCATAAACACCTCCACTTCTTTAGCCCAGAAGTGAAAGGCCCTCCTCATAGTTGCCTTTCCTGAGGGACAGAAATGGCCAGAGTGGGTCTGGAACCCCGAGGGAAAGAATGGCCTCCCGGTTGGCTTGGAAGGAAAGCAGGACCACCCAGACCTTGGGGGTGAGGGTGCATGTGTGACCTCAGCAGGGCCATGTTCTGAGCCAGGAAGAGGGGCAGAGTGATATAGAGCAGACAGGGTGCTTGCCTGGCCTGCAGCTGATGTTGGCTCGGTCCCTGGCACCAACTCTAGTCCCTCTAGCCCCGCCAGGAGTGAGCCCTGAGCACAGAGTAAGGAGTGATCCCTGATCATAGAGCCAGGAGTGAGGTCTGACGACAGAGCCAAGAGTAAGCCCTGAGCCCAGAGCCAGGAAGTCAGCCCTGAGCACAGAGCTAGGAGTGAGGCCTGAGCACAGAGCCAGGGGTGGCCAAAATTTAAAATACCAGGAAGAAACCAGAAGTTTGGGTGCATGCAGGGGGAGAAAGGTCCTCTCGAGCCCCTCAGATCTTTTCTCCCGGGGAGACTAACCTCAGCTTAACGCGTGGGGCTCATTTGCTTGCAATCTGCGGGTCAGGAACAGGCAGCCGGGGCCAGGGGTCAGGCTGTGCTCCCGGAGAGGGTGTGGGCAGGTGCTTTCAACTGCTCTGGTCTGGACCGTTGAACCCTCTCGCTGAGAACCCTGGGGGGGCTCGCTCTCCTGCCTGCTGGGCATCTGTGGAACTTCTGCTCTGGGGGTCAGCCCAGACCTAACCCTGCTCCTTGCTCTCAGGGGACTGATGACCCGGTGTGCCCTCTGCTGGCCACTACTGGCAGGAAGGACTCCTGATGAAGATGTCTGACTCTGTCCTGTGATGCCGACCTGGAACCTTCTAGAAAGTCCAGTGAGTGACAGTGAAGCCTGACGCCAGCAGAAGGTGTCCTGTGAGTGTGACTGTTGGCCTCACCCAGATCACCCTAAGTGGGTGCCACAGCCCTGGGGAGTGGGGAGACCCCTGGGGAACACGGACTCCCAGCAAGGAACCCCAGCAGCGGACCCGCACCAAGGCAGCTGTGGCTACACCATCGTCTCTTCCAAGGAGCCTGTTTTCTTTCTCTTCTTTCTCTTGGTTTTTTCGCCTGTGCCAAAAAGGGCCCAAGGGCTACTCCCAGCTCACCCCTGGCGGTGCCGGTGCCGGGAATCCAACCTTGGGCCGCTTGCCTGAAGCACGTGTGCTCCCACCTGATGAGCTGGTAATGACCCAGAGCTATTTCTTTCTATTGAGAGTCAAGAAGGCTTGATAAAAATAAGTCAGTAAGGGTTTTTACCAGAAAGCTCTAAGAAGGATAAGAAAGGAAAAAAAAAAAGAATCTGATCTCTTTCTGAACAGGGTAAAACATAATGACACCTAAATTATTCTATGTATGACTCTAAAAGCAAGCCATCTCTAAGCAGAGGCTTTTAAAAATATAAATGGGATAATATGAGGTGTGGCTGACTAGTCACCAGGGACCAAATCTAAAGCAGCAGGATCCCTGCTGCGATTTTGTGTTCATAAGATTTATAAGAGCTGGTGTATTAAAACAATCACCTTGGGCTAGAGCGATAGCACAGCGGGGAGGGCGTTTGTCTTGCATGCGGCTGACCCAGGTTCGGTTCCCAGCATCCCATAGGGTCCCCTGAGCACCTCCAGGAGTAATTCCTGAGTGCAGAGCTAGGAGTAACCCCTGTGCATCGCCAGGTGTGACCCAAAAAGAGCCCCCCCCCAAAAAAAAAAACAATCACCTAAATATAAAGACTCTTGGAAGGCCCAGAAACCACCTAAACCAAAAGGCAAACATGTTTGGGGAAGGGCCCCGTTGGCAGATACATGAGATGGTCCCAAAGACCATGGTCTCTGCATCCTCACGCTCATCCCCTGGATGTGGCTTGGCCTGGGGAGTTTCTCAGGGCTTGTCCAATACAGAAAAATCACAGAAGTCGCACTCATGGTTGGGCTGTGAACACCCCCTCTTCCTGCTACCTGCCCAGTGTGAGGGCTCTGAGGACGCACTCGGTGCCGTCCAACAGAACCACCGAGAAAGCACCCAGAGGGCTTGGCCGAGCTGTACCCAGAGTCCAGCAACTGCTTAATCTTGCTTGAAGCTGCTCTATATGGTGGCGATTTGTGACTTAGCAAAGGATGATGGGTAACGACCGCAAAGTAGCGGGTCAATACTCCAGGTTCTGTCTGTGGGGCCATCCCTGCAGCAAATACTCAGCCCGGCCACTCCAGGCAGGCAGGACCTTGGAGGGGAGAAGATAACGAGCACGCATGGTGGCGGCTACTGAAACTGGACTCGGAAATCTGCATTCCCTTTACTTTTCGCACAGCACGAAGCACGTCTTTGGAGAGTTTCCAACAATTTTGGAGTGTGAAGATCATGCTCAGTTGTCAGATGATACAAAACACAGACGATGGAATATGGATTTAGAGGCCAGAGTTTGCCAACTCTTAGCCTAAGGAGTTCACGCAGTCTTATTTAACACTACTGTGGTGTGCGTGCACGTGTGTGTGTGTGTGTGTGTGTGTGTGTGTGTGTGAGAGAGAGAGAGAGAGAGAGAGAGAGAGAGAGGGCCTCACATAGGTAAGTGCTCTATGCTGAGCGACCTCCTCTAAGACACTGCACAATGGAAGAAACACACAAACGAATCGTGCACATCTTATTCCTGGATGCTCAAATCGCATATAAACATCATTTGGGGGAGAGGGGCTGGTGTTGGGTCACCCCCAGTGGTGACCGGGGGCTACTCCTGGCTCAGGGCTTACGTCTAGGGGTGCTGGTGTGCCAGGGGTAGTGTGTGTGTGTGTAGGAGGGAGGTCTGGGGATCACCTGTGTGCAAAGGGAGTGTGGATCCAGTGTCGTA